CTTGACACCAACTTCTTAAAGCCTCTATTTCAGTTCTTGCTTATATAGATGACACATTATGGATTGCTAAATCCAAAAATAAGTTAGAACAAATTACTTAAATGGCAGTATCCTTTTACCAAATAGCTAATTTTCAAATTAATTCTACTAAGTCAATATTTGTTACAAACACCAAACCTACTTCTATTAGCTTTCTTAATTCTACTTTTAACTCTATCTCTAACAACCAACCTTTTAAATACCTAAGTTGTTGGTTTACACTTAATAACAAACAAACTCATACAATCAAATTAATTCAAGAAAAAGCTTTTCAACTAATTAATACTGCAAATACAAAAAATATCACAAACAAACAAATTACTTATATTATTAACACAGCCAACATTAAAATACAAAATATATAATATTATACTTCCCAAAACTATATATAATTATATACTGGCTAAATACCTTATAGTTGCTAAACACAAATCTCATCTTGCCCAATCAATTTCTAATAATACAATGCTTCATTCTTATTTATACAATATATATAATATTTGGGATATACAATTACAACACCATATTACTACATTTCTCCAACAAATTAATGATCTCTATTTACTAAGTGTTTCTACTCATATTCGATTACAACAGCTCTAAAACAACCTCTGGTCTATTATAAATATTCTTGAACATTCTTAATCTAATGTTAATGATCAAGATAAACATACTTTTAATTTTAAAATTATTCAACTATTTTCACAAATTGCCATCTTCATTAGAGCTAACAATAATATATTATAGCCAAACATTATTCATTATTAACTTCAATCTCTTGAACTTATTCTTTAACACTACCCCAAATATATAACCTTTAAAAAACAACTTAAATGACTAAACCTACTTTACCTTAAACAACTTTGTACTTCAGACAATACTACACTTCTTGAATGGCTATATCTATCACCAAGAATTTTTTATTTGCTTAAAGGCAGAAAACCAACCTGGTTTACTGAACTTGAAAACCTTATTATAGAAAATTACTATCATTATTTTTTTAAACTTCAATACCAACAGCAAAGAACTAATCTCTTTGCATATAACACATACAATATTCCTAAAAAACATAAATCATAGCTAATTATTTTCAATAATAAAAAAATTATTATAGGCAAAATCCATAAACATCTTACAGATTCTAACCAAATATCAATCACACACTGGCAAACTGATATTAATATAAACAGTACTGATTATTATTTACTTCAACAAATTAATCTTGTCTCTTGTCCTGGTTGTCAACTTAATTCACAATGAATAACTACATCATGCACTATTAATACTTCATCTATTACATCTGCCCAATTTTTTGGTAGAATTATCTCAAACTCAGTTAAAATAAATGCAAACTATTTAGACCTTCTCAGCTCTACTGCAATTAAATGACCTTTGCCAAATTTCTTACTACTACTATTGCCTTCTATCCCTATTCTTAACTCTATCTCTTCTACAATTTTTGAAGCAAGTGATGCAACTAACAAACTTAATTAAATATCCTCTAATAACCTACTACATAACTTATTTAACTTTTATACTGATGGTTTAGTAATTAGTATAAGTACAAATAACTGTACTATGGGTATTGGCTAGGTTTAAGTAGACTCTAATGATCAAGTTATTTACAAATTTACTGCCTAAGTTCACCTTTGGCCATCTTCTTACAAGGCTAAACTTTTCTCTATTCTGTCTGCTATTTCAACTACCTCCTGAAATTCTACAATTAACATCTATACAGATTCCTAATCCATAATATCAAAATTTATCCAACTTAATTAATCATTTCTAAATCCTAATAAACTTTTCAAATTTAACTCTTGGCCATTATGGCATATTTTACTAAATATTATTAAGTTATACAAATTAAATATCATTTTCTATAAAGTTCAAGTCTACTCAAACAATACTCTTTACAATCTAGCAGATTCACTTGCTAAGCAACATACAAATGAACTTCTATTACATTTTAACTATACAAATATTCATAACTTATATCATTTATTATTCTTCGAAACAGAAAAATTTCCTGTTAAATTTTCTACCAGATACTTTGTTAAAAGTATCTGTAAAGCTTACAATCTTGCACTATAGTCATCACAAAAATGAAATGATGAATGGACTCTATTAGCCCATCATATCGACTGGAATTCAACCTGGCTATACTTCAATCATAACCAAAAATCTATCTACAACCTTACTAATTTTAAACTTAACCAATCCAAATCTTTTAAAATTAAAATACTTCTTAATGAACTACCTACTCAATACCTTTATCATAAAATCTATTTACTAACCTTTTATAATACCAACTGCTTTTACTGCAATTCAATTATATTACCATTATATTAGTGCACTTGCACTAATTTCTTTTTGCTTGATAACATCATTTCTAATGCAATAACTAATTGTATAAACTTAGCCAATTTAGACTTCTTTAACAATAAAACTAAAGAACTTATTCAAAAAGTTAAATACCTCTTCACTCATCTTCACACTATCTAGAAATTACTCTTAAAAGTCTTATTCTTCTATCTCTAATTAAAACTATTCAAAATCTAGAAGTTCTATACAAATTAGCATCAACACTCATGATTAATATTTTGCTTGAAATTCAAAAAAACAGACGATCATCTGGACCAAACTTTACAAAATGTCGAACTACAGAAAATTGATATAGTTAATATATTAAACTCTATGAAAACTTCTCCGAAGCACTGGGCATGCATAGTGAGCATTGAAATAGAGTTGAAAAAGAAGCTATCACTTTGTAATAATGGTTTAAAAAAGCTCTGAAACCATAGAAGAAGTGGTTGGTGAAAACCAAAAGTCTTTTATAAAGTAAACAACAGTGTTGAATATATTATTTCTATACAACTGTAAAACTTACAAGGAACACCCAGAAGGGTTAAGCACTCACAAAAGCTTTAGTTTGGTTCACTTTACACCTTCACTTTTCTTTGAGGAAAATTTTGTAAAAAGTGGGTAATTCAGTTTACCCTTTCCAAAAGATCGACACATAAAACACCAAAACAGTCAACAGTATTTATTTCCTAATCAGGATTGTGTAAACAATACAGCAATATAAATATGACTCATACATGTGCTTCAAACTGCTGAAACCCTATGAAATACTGTTTCCAGACTAATCAATATCTGATGCCGACTCTCTACATTCAAGTCGAAGTTTTATTCTATATGGTTTTTGTTAAATATTCTAGTAGATAGAAAAATAGTAGAGTTATTTTTATTTAGTATAGTTTATAATTTTTAAAAGCCTGACACAGGCTTATAATTGTGACTATCCAATAGTCATATAACGAAAGTTGCATATATCTTTTTCTTTTTTCTTTCTATTTTCCCTTTTTCTCTTTTATTTTTTGTTTTGTATCTTTTATCTTTATTCCCTATACCTCTGTGTTTTTTTTTCTTTTTTTTGTTATATAATAAGTTTTTTTTTGGTTTTCTTTCACTTCTCTATGAGAAGATGTTATTAGATTGGTAATATTCTATTGTAGGACAGTGGTCAGATGCGCCTCCAGATCCCCTTTTTTTTTTAGAAAATTAGGCAACTGGTGCAGGCAGATCACTTGTAAGTGCTCATAGAAGTAACTGCGGGATGTCGACTCAATATGTTAAGTTTAAAAATGTTTGTATGAAAAACATGATGTCTTAATAAAGAGCAATTAGCAAGACTGCCAAAGTCAAGGAAAAAAAAAAAAAAAGTTTGACTTTTTGGAAAATTTGATTCAAATGATTATCAGAAAGAGTTGGTGTAAATTTGTTTTATTTTTAATTGGAAGTATATCAGTTTTTCTACTTTTTGTCCTTTTATATAACAAATTTAAATAAATTATATTATTTTTTCTTTTGTATTTAGGTTTCTAATATTACTGCTAATTTTGCTTCTTGTATTGTAACTTTTCATCTTTAACTATTGTATTGCTTCAAACATGAAATCACTAATTGACCTGAAAACATTTTGTTTAGATGTTTTGTTTGTAATGAGTGTTGTTTCTCTTTTATGCTTTATCTTATCTTGTGTTGTTATGCTTTTCTACTATCTGTTATAATTGCCTTATAATTTACTTAGTTATTTAGTTATTATTATACATCAGTTTTGCTTTTTGTTGTTTTTTTTATAATTTTATTCACAATATCTATATGAATTACGTTACTACGTCTAAACTTAGGCTCAGAATATATTAACCTGGCAGGCTAAATTAAGGATAGTATTTGATGATATTTCATCAATTTCATTGTTTAAAATTCATTTATGCGAACTTTCACAGTGATAATATTTTACTACGAATATAAATATTATTAGGGTAACTGCGCGACGTAGTCGCACTTAAACCAGGAACGTAGCATATATATTAAATTTCGATTTTTTTTATTGTAAAGATTTGCCCATTTTTTAGCCCTTCAAAAACGAATTCCCTCTTAAACGAGCTTCTTTATTTTATGTTTAATGAAGAAAAGTTTTAAACTTATCAAATTATATTGAATCGGTAATTCATAATGCATGTGAGATTTTATATTTATTCAGGCTGGTAAATATAATTTATTGATCATGAGTTTATAGCATTAAATGTGACCGATTTCCGCTTTAAAATGAACATTACACAAGTTTATACGATGCGCAATGCCCAGTCAAAAAGTGTTGGAATGTGATAGTTTGAAATATTAGCAGTGACTATAAGCAACATTAAAAACTATTATTGAAGTTATGATTTCGAACAGTCACATAACTAGATACTTATGGTTAGGCACTATATGTGACGCATTCTAAAACATACCGTTATTTTTTTGTAACACAAAGAAAGCTCGTGCTTACACAGTACGCTGAAATGTTTCTTGCATAAAAAATAAAGGAGTGTAAAAAGTTTGATAAATTCCCGACTTTTTTTACTATAGGATGAGTAACTATAACGCCCATATTTTTATAAGCTTGTCTTGACCACCCGAAGATAAAATTGAACCTTTATATTTTATACATCGTACAGGCTGACTGTGTCCTTCGAATTTAGACTGTTGAAACGAAATTCTATTATATAACTATAATTAACAAATTAATAAGTTGTTAATGAATTAGTTTAATAATTTATAAACTAACAGATATAAATTAACACTTAACCTTTATATCATTACTGCCAGCGCTACAGACAATTTTTTGAGGATCAAATTGTAAACTGACAACGCTGTGATCATACAAAAAAGTATCGATTACGGATCCCGTTCGTAGGTCCCATATCTTAAAAGTTTTAGCCAAAAGATGAACCATTACTATTAATACATATTGTAAGCATATAATAATTAAACATACAATAGATACCTTTATACTTTTATCAACACTTCCACTAACGACATGTAAATCATCAAACTGAAGGCACGTTATAGGACCTATAGAACAAAAAACGTAATTAGTATAAGGCCATAAGATAGTAATTGTCTAGAGTTCGTAGATTCTAACCTGTATGACCAAGCAATGTGCGATGGGCTTGACCTGTTCTCACTATTAGAAATTAGGAATTAGTTGTGTGGTCATGGATTGATCGTAAAATAGTAATAAAATTAAACAAAATAAAGTAACGAAATCACAATAATATACAGTAATAGGATACAATCCCACATTCGAATTACACCATCTTCAGTTCCGCTTGCCAGACCAACATCTCGGAATTGTAGAGCTCCGATAAAATCTCCATATTCAAGTGCATATTCGCCTGAGAAAAAACCTACTTGCTTAAGGTCAGCTTTTGAACTTGACATGGCCCACAAAATGTCCATTGTTAAAATACATTGTCCTGTTTCCATATCCCATTGTTTCATAGTCTTATCTGATGAACCGGATACCTTAATTCGTAATAATGAAATTTAATACAAAATCGACAAATAACTCTGCGACCTAAACTATTTATATTGTTAATTATCCGTACCAAACAATCATTTTCATAGTGCAAACATGTGACACTCCCTGTGTGTCCTTCTAATGTTGCTAACCAACAATCGTCACCAATAAAAGGTAATACATTTTCACTAGATGTTGAAACCTGATTAAATTTTACTTCAGATATCTGTTTGACTTTAGAAGGTGTTGACACCTTTGAGATATCCCATTGTCTAATAGTACAATCACGAGACCCGGTAACCAAGTGACACTTATCCATACGCATGCAATTTACAACGCCTATAATAAAAATAATGAGATGCTTTATATTAGGAATGAAATTAAATCTTTGAACAAGTTGAGTTCTTTAACTAACCCTTATGACCATCTAGAATTCCCAAATTTTGATAATTCGTCAAATCCCATAACCTCAAAGTGCTATCCAAAGATGCCGTTACAAGAGTACCATAAGGTTTATCAAAGTCAAGACATAAAATCATATCATCGTGTCCTTCTAAAACCTTTAAAAAAAACCCCCCAAAAAAACAATAAATTAATATTGAAATAGGTAGCGCCCAATGTAAATATTATTTACCTTTATACAGGTTCCTGGTTGTTGCTGTTTTAAATTTGTTTTTCCTGATTTTATAAAATCCAATTTTAATTGTAAACTCTAGCTTTTGAAAAGAACAAGTTATGGGAAACTCCTGACCTTTCTTAATACGCGTATTTTGTCCATTATGATTATCGTCTAGTCCAAAATTGCCGATTTTTTCGTTTAAGTCTTCCACTAAATTTACCAAGTTTAATTCCAATTTAAAGACATTAAGATGTAAATCAAAAAGAAGCTTTTGAAACTCACATTGGTCATTCAAGTCAACTTTTCTGATGCAAAAACTTGTAAGATTAGACTCAAGACTAAGTTTTTTTGCGGTCAATTCGGTGATTTCTTTTTCAATTCTTTTAATTTCGGCTATCGTTCGCGACTTGATAATTAACAAAATAATACTGGTTATTAGTAAATTCAATAATTTTGGGATCATTTAACGATCTTAAAGACTATGCACAGTACCTCATGTAGGTTTAATCTGTCATTTTCTTTAACAACCCTATCACGATCAGCAATTAGTTGATTTAATGGTTTATAATCATAATCTACAAAAACAAATATATCAAGTCTTTGAAAGGTCAATTCTTTAAGTATATACTATTTAATATTAATAGATTATGAGAAATAGATTACAATATACCAGCATCGAATATCCCATCTCCACCTGGTAAGAGGCCTTTAACCTTTCGTTTATGATGTTTTCCTCTTCTTTTGCTATTTATTGTATCAGCCTCCGAAAAGGTTACTTTATAACCTTGAATCAATGATAAAGGAGCCTTAGATTCTGGTATATCTGTAGCTTCTAAAAGTTCCTCGGGAACTGGAGTAGTTGAGCGTGTTGAACATTCATCTACAGGCAAAGAAATTTGATTTGAATTCGAATTTTCTGCCTGACGAACATTAGGATTGATATACTGCTGCACGCGTCGCTCCATCATTTGAGGTGCAAATTCAGAGAGTATTGTCACAGCATCTCCTTTTACAACTCGAGGGGTCAAAGGAGAAAATATCATTGAGGCAGTACTTGATATACTGTTTGGTACAGTGTTTTTAAGACTTTCAAGGTGGAATGCGGGTAGTAAATCGTTTAATCGTGTATCAGCAAAATTCGGAGAATGTTTTGTTTCATTAGTAGGAGTTGACGATCTTGCACTCGGACCATTTGACATACTCATTTTAATAAATTGGCGTTCGCTATACTAAATATTATACTGTATGCTAAATACCATGCAACTGTTTATAGAATATCTGCTAACATCCACATATTCTTTATTGAAGTTGGTGGTAGGCGAATCACATGACTTACGCTTAATTTAATTACAGAATTACTTTATTATGGTTGGTTTTCGTTTTTTTTAAAAAGTATTAAAAAAAAAAAAAACATATACGTAGAACATTTCATTAGAGCTGTAGGTCTCCATAATCAAAAATAAGATCTAATTATCGTCCGTTTAAAAAAAATTAGCTTAAAAATAAGTTGATTTTATCGGGTTTTGAGAAGTTATTAATACTAACTTTTTTTAACGGACGAGAATTGGATCTTATTTTGGCTATGGAGTCCTACAGCTCTAATGAAACCTTCTACGTATACAGCTTTTTTTTATTTTACTATGATTAGTTTTTAAACTGTGCGTATAAATAATCAGACAAACTTCTGCCTATGATTCTCCGGGCTAGTCCGTGGTGGTGATCAGAAAGATTCGATTGGTTGATCAATATATGGTAACAAATTTTTCTTGAATGCTTCTTGATTTGTCATCAATCGAAAAAAAAAAAAATTATATATATTAGCCAACCACTACGTAAATAATTTTTTTCAACTTTTGAAATTTGAAAAAATGGGTCGTCGTCCAGCACGTTGTTATAGATATTGTAAAAATAAACCGTATCCAAAGAGTCGATTTTGTCGTGGTGTTCCTGGTATTTAATGTTAAATAAAATTTTAATATTTATACTTAAATATTGTATTGATGAAAAAGCCGTATTTGAAAAGATCCAAAAATTAGGATTTTTGATCTAGGGCGAAAGAAGGCAAATGTCGACGAATTTCCTCTTTGCATTCATTTACTTTCTGATGAGTATCAACAGTTGTCAAGCGAAGCATTAGAAGCTGGACGTATTTGTGCCAACAAGTATATCACAAAAATGGCTGGCAAAGATTCTTTCCATTTGAGGGTTCGTGTTCATCCCTTCCACGTTATTCGTATCAACAAAATGTTGTCCTGTGCTGGTGCTGATAGGTAATGATAAGGGATATTGTTTTTTTTTTGCTTCATTTTGATCTAATTTTGCAGCATTTTAAACAAAATCGCATTTACATTTTTATTAAGGCTGCAAACTGGTATGCGAGGTGCATTTGGTAAGCCAACTGGTACCGTTGCTCGTGTTGATATCGGACAAATTATTTTCTCCGTTCGTACCAAAGAGAACGGTAAGGCGGTCGTGATTGAAGCACTCAGACGTGCAAAGGTAACATATCAGAAAGAAAAAATATTGCAATTTTATGATTTCATTTTTAAATTAACTATATATTTAAACAAAATAGTACAAATTCCCCGGTCGCCAAAAAATTGTGGTGTCCAAAAAATGGGGATTCACAAAGCTGTCTCGGGAAGAATACGTGGATAAACGACAAGCCGGCCTCTTGCAGCCAGATGGTGCTTATGTGAAATACCTTTCTAATCATGGACCTCTTCACAAACATCTTGCACAGATTGCACAGATTGCACAGATTTCCTCTTAATAATACATGATTAGAAATTTTTATTTACTCGTTTACTTTTACGAAATATTATTGTAATGTAAATGAAAATAAATTATAATAACCATAAAGTTGGCCCGTAAAAAAATCGATTTATTTTATTATGCTGTTTTTACAAGTTATTTATAAGAATGCAATCTAGGGGGCATAGTAGTTAAAAATGACCATGTTATTCCTTGTATTTGTTCAACCGTTGGAACAAGACAAGGTATAACTGTTACTGGATCGCCTTCTTTAATAGGTGCAGATAGACAATCCGAAGGTCTATCATATGGATGAATAAGAAAAGAATCCTAACAATGAGAATAAGAAATAAATTAAACAAAGACGGTAAAACGGAAACGAAAAAGGACATTCAGATTTACCTCAAAATTTGAATCGGAATAGCACCATCCAGTGTTTTTGGCGTAATATGTTGAATTCATTAATAAAGTATTATCGTCCATATTCCATGCTAGGCTTTATTATTAATAATATTTTAGTATAAAATTTATATATTTAACCTAACCACAGAACATACATAGTTTCATCTGGTCCAAGTATTTGTACTGGATTGCAACCATTGTAACTTTGTTGTAAAAGTTCTACCGCAAAGTTGGTTTGAGCGGGACTATTATCACAGTTCTTCACATATAAGGGATTAGTAGAAATGTCCAGACACCTCCACTGGTATTCTGTAAAGAACAAATGAATGTCAAAATTTGACAATCTTTAAAAAAAGGGGAAAACAAACTTACTATTCTGAAGAGTATTCGCAGGTAGATTTATTATGGGAGGACCTCCATGCTCATGCATCTGTATACGTGCTATACATTCTCCGAAGAATCCAAGACAAATAAATATTAAAACAGCAATTATGATTTTACGGACCATATTTCTTTGATACTACTTTTTTTTAAAGGAAGATTTCAACATAGAGTTGATTCTAAATGAATTAATAATTAATATCGATATGTATCGGTATTGATATGCTATATATGTGTAAATGCGATGGGATCCATATTACTAATTTGGCATTATGCAAAAATATTAGTCACGCATTATAGGCATTATCATTATATAAGAAAAGGAGTTGATTTATCCCGTCGTTGTAACACCTATTCATACATAAATGAACATAATCCTGTCGTCTTTATACATCTTGCAAGGTCCTGTTGCATTATTGATTGAATTTTCCTTTATTCCTTTTCTAAAAGCTTACATTTCTCACGCCCCAATGTTCACGGTCAACAATCGATAAAACGCAATGTGGCCTCCCAGTGATAGAATACCCAACTTACCCGATTTACCCGAGGTCAAATCATTTATTGGCGTCATTTTCGCTGTTTCTGGCAATGTAAGCAGCAGTTTCTTTTTTTCACAAGTCACTTGAATAATTCGTTTACGCATTTGTATTAGTGTTAATTTGGTAATATTGCACCTTTGTACAGATTTTGATTTCCATCGCACTAAACATTCAAAAAAACGCTCATAATGAGTTACAAAAGCTTAAACTCGACCGGCTTGATTCCGGCGACTTTGCAAACAACACTTCTCCACAAACCCCATTGGGAACACATAACTTTTCTACGGATGATTATGAAGTCCCAGATCCCGAAGAGTATGGTAATACCAGTTACCTTCATTCAAAAGCATGGTGGACTGGACTCTTTTTAATGGTTATTGGTGAGTCTGATTAAGCATTTAGGCAATTCGTTTGTTGTTTAGCACACATAAGCTAAGCGATGCGCTAAGTCATTCAATGATCTAATGATATCCATAATTCCCGTGCATATTACCTTCCTAACCTTAATAGTCATGGTATATAACTTCGCGACCATGTAAAATTTATATTGTTTTATTGAAACTCATTTATTCTCATTTGTATCGATCTGTGATGTATTTAGGAGAATTGGGCAATTTTATCGCATACGCGTTTGCTCCGGCTTCGGTCATAGCGCCTCTTGGAACCGTCGCTTTGATTTCTAATGTAATTTTAGCTCCGATAATGCTTAAGGAGACGTTTCGACCGCAAGATTTACTCGGAATCTTAATTGCAATTGTCGGTGCGGTTGTCGTTGTCATAAACTCGAAGTCAGATGAAGTAAAAGTATGTACAATTTTAGTGATGCAGGCAAATTGTCGTAATTACGATAATATGAAAATCGGTTTTGAATACAAAATTCAACTGAATCATAAGTCGTGATTAATGACGTAATTACTCCTACATCACTAGTGCAACTATTAATAATGTCATGATATTATGATAAATCATTAATATGTAATTTCTTTAACAGCTTTCACCTGAGGCTATATGGATTGCTATTATGCAGACACAATTTACCATTTATCTATCAGTAACGCTTGTTATGTCAATGCTGTTAATATTCCTCTCTGATAAATTTGGTCACAAATTAATTATTATTGATCTATCATTGGTTGCAATATTTGGTAATGTCTTATATTTTTATTTGGTATAAATTGAAATTATAATTATTCCTTAAACTGTTTTCCAGGCAAATTTGCCTGGAAATTTCATGATTGATCTGTGATTAAGCTATCAAATTATATTGAATTGTAGTTTAAATCGTAATAGATACGTAGTTAAATTGACAGTTTAAGAGATAATTATAATTATAATTTATAATCATAGCTATAAAGGATAATGCTAAGCACACCAGTAGTGATAAACATCATATTGAGTATTCTTACTTAGAACATCATATAACAGCTAGTTTTTGAAATATAGAAACTGTGGTGTTAAATATCACTGGTGTGTTAGTAACTTTATTAATATTATTATATCAACAGCTTTTCTAACGTCTAGTTTTGATAATATAGGAGGATATACTGTATTATCAACAAAAGCAATCTCTTCTCTGTTGACAATGAAGTTTGTTCTGATGTTTAGTTATCCAATCACATATATTTTGTTGTTTGTTCTGATGTCTACTGCGGTTCTTCAGATAAAATTTCTTAACAAAGCATTAAAACAATTTGATTCAACGGTTTGTAGTTAATACTTATAACTGTTTCATGATACGATTGTAAACATCTATGTCCTAATAATCTTGATTTTTATATTTATGCTGATTTAAGGAAGTTATTCCCACGCAATTTGTTTTATTTACTATATCAGCAATAATAGGTAGTGCTATATTATATAATGATTTTGCTGAAATGGATTTTTGGAAATGCGCTGGCTTCTTGATAGGGTGTTTCATGACGTTTGTGGGTGTTTATTTTATCACTTCAAACCGAGGAAAATCTAAAGGTTATGCAAAACCAGGTGCTAATTCCGTGCCAGGAACTTTGAGAGGCGATCATTTTCGTTCTGTACTTCCTGATGATATGAACGCCTATAATCCCTCGAATGAATTTGATCGATATGTATCGTACCCAAATTCAAATGCTACGACCATTCCTCGAAGGCATACTTTGTTAGAACCAATTTCACATGCCTCCACACCTCTTTTGAGTGGTTATGATTCGAACAATAATTCTCTTTCAAGAAACGACGGCTTATTATTATCTCTTGTTCATGGTTCTCTTACTGCTGGTGTAAGTCAAGCATTAAATTCCGTCGGTGCCCGTCATTCTCATGCACTAGGATTAGGTAAAAAAATTTAATGTTACTTTTTATATTTGCTTGTCTCAAATTTTTACATATTTATATTTACAAATTAATGCACACTTTTCCTCATTCTTTTTTAGACCAAGTTTTTGAAAATTATTGGTTAAAAATGATAGAACAAAGGTCTAATGAGTCTAATAACATTAATGATGATTCTGGGTTTCATCGTCGTAGTAATTCAGTCCCACAACCTAGAACATTTAATGTTAGAAATTATCAAAGTTATCAGAGTAACGGTAGAACAAACATTTCATCAGCTGCCAATCAAGATAATAATAGTGAAAATTCTAGCGTACAACCAAAATCTTTAACTAATTCTTCTTACCTTGGTACTTCGTATGATAATAATTCTTATTATGGTTCAGAATATACTGACGATGACGACTCTAGGACAGTGAGTGGTCGAACTACTTCAACAAATGGTAGTAATGTAGGAATATATATGGGTGATTCTGGTAGTACCTATGAAGCATTTCCTGATCTTAACTATTCTGAAGATATGGATGATTTGCCCGATTTACCAACCAGGCGTGACTATGGTAATGGTATAACTGAAAACGAAAGTGAAATATAATTTTTTACACAAGAACTTTTTTTGGATAATTGAAATTGAATAAATAGACTATTTTGTAATTGTCTTTAAGATTAATTATTGGACTTTTTTTAAAAAAAAAAACATAATGAAATTATTGGTTCACTTTTATTTGATTCGAGTCAAAATTTTTTATAATTATCACTACTATCATTAGTATTATTATTTTATATTTATTCTATTATTCATACTTTATTATTCGTTCTTGTATCATAATCATATAGTGGCATTGATAGATATATATTTTCAATATACTGTATACATATTAATTGTTAGAAAATATCTTTATTTTGATAATGATACCATGAAAGATTAATAATAGTTTAATATTAAAAACAAGATTTTACAAATGATCGTCTGGTTATGTTTATTAATAGTCGTTGATTATGTTCATAATAACGTAAATAACACAAAGTGACGAGAAGACGTAATTGAAATGTGAAACATTAAGTCTTGTTATTCATCTTTTTCTTTATGAAAATATTTCTGATTAACTTTAAAAGTCTGCAACATGTAAAATTAATACCAATCAAAATTTACAACGAATTATTTGAGGCTGGAATATTAATAAATTATCATTTAAATAAAATATATTTAATCTCTTTAATTCTTAATTTAAACATAAAAATAAAATTTTAATAATCTATATATAGCATTGATTTAACAATTTGAATGTTTTTGCACTATCGACTAATATAATGCACATATATTTATATTTTTGCCATTATCCCAAACGAAATATTTCAAATCTAAACTTTGTAGTAATGTTACAATTCAAGAGGTTTTGATCACAGCCTTAAATTAATCAGAGGTGTCCATTGCCACTGGCCCCTGACCTTCACTTACCTCCGCAACAACAGGCGATTCTTTTGTCTCTGTGTCTTCAGCATTCTCTACAGGGTTCTGGTCTTCTCCAGTCACCGCGTTCTCTAATTTTGTCTGCTCACTTGAGCTACCTTCTTCACTACTATCTTCATTAATATCAGCATCCGAATCAGCTTCCTTGCCTTCCTCTTTTGTCACAGCCTCTATTTTAGGAGCAAACGTAATTGGAACCAATTTTGGAGAAGTAGTTACATCCATTATCTCTAATCTATCTGTTACCATAGTGGTATTTAAAACTGGTGGAAATTCATCAACAGAAGATTGCACCATTAATACCTAAAAAAATGAGAGTTCGTAATTATTGAATAAATCAATATGTATAATAAAGTAAAAAGAAAAAAAAATACTAATAAGTATAGAAATAATAAGTCAAGTCTTCTAAGCATGGCACCATACAAAATATGATTTAAATATTTAATAGTAAGGAACGACATAGAACCCGCTCTAAATTTGTTCAGTTGGATTACCTTTTCTAAAGCCCGAAGCCACTTAATCAAAGTTTTATGATGCTGAAAAGGTCTCAGTAATAGCTCGGCAGTTCTTTGAATCGTGAATGGTGGCCTATAAACGTACAAAGAACTCAGTTATAATAAACTAACTAATGTTATCATTAGAGTCTGTGCTCATTGAAAAATTCCTACCCAAGTATTATTATATACTTCGGGTAGCAATTTCCACCCGGGTATAACCCCTAGTTATAATTACCTCTCAAATTCATCGAGCATTTTGTTAATATTTTGTTTATATTCTTCGATCTCGGCTTTAACTTTATCGATTTGTTCGGGGTCTGTGCCATTTATTGCAATCGGCAATTGTGATTCCTGACAAATCTATAAATCATTTAAGCTAATCAATAACAATAAAGTAAAGAAATCATATGTTTTCATATCTACCTTTTCAAATCTCTCTCTAATAATATCTTTAACTTCCGGCCAAGGAATTCTTTATTATATTTGATGTTAATTTTGCTTAAAATTTCTAAATAATAAATTTGTGTAGCCGTACACTCACGTAGAAGTAAATAGCACGCGCACATACATACGTGAGTTGGTTCATTTCTGATATATGTGTTAAAACCTCATCGTTAGTCGATAGAATTTTTAGATCTAGATTGTAAAGTATTTTATTGTAAGTTTAAAAGGAAATGTGTAAATTAAAAGAAAAGTGAACAATTCAGGCTTTCTTAAACCTGTCGATTCTTGCTCCTCTGATGAAACTTGTGGCAGTGGATCAGATTCCGTTTGAGCCTGTTGTGATGTGCTTTGTGTCGTCAACTCTATAAAAGACAATTGGGATTAAATACTAATCCTTTAAAACATTTTAGAAAGATTTATTTACCATCACTATCGGGTTGACTTGTCAAAGTCATAACCTCGTCAGATTTTGGCTTGGCAGAGAAAAAACTAGAAAAAAACGAAGTCATATAGCACGACCGCACTAAATATTATAATTATTACTATTTTGATTTTTACGTAATATTAAAGCTAAAGACGACAACTTTATTTATCTGGACTAGTTTTCCGAACCCACATCACCACCATGATTCAATAATCACGTGATTATTTCAACCTCCCTTCTATGTTTTGATAACTTTTTTCTAACTATATCAACATCCTTCCAAGCAAAACAGCAGATAGCAACCAGCGCCTTTAAGTATTTAAGATCCCTGTCCCAATTGATACATTGCAGAATTACATTATCAGTTACCCAGTCATTATGGGATATCTCAAGAAAAACAAGATTTATCAAGCCCGTGCTAAAAATTCTCAATGCTTGAGGACCGTCTTCATAATTAGAACAACCTGCGATTGATAAATGGCTAAGCAATGGAATAGTTGAAGCAATTAACTTGGACAATGGAATGATAGGAATGTTGTGAGTAAAACCAACATTCAATCTGCAAAGTTCAGGAACTTTAGAAATAAATCTAGTAGGCAATGATCTCGAATCTTTCTCAGACTTTCCCACAACTGAGGAAGAATCTGGTAATTTAAAATATCGAAATGATAGAAAATCGGTATCATCACTTTCAGAGCGATCAATTAGAACTTCCCAATCTTCTACAATATCATTCTCGATATCTTTATCATCAACCATTTTCCAAAAAGACCTTTTCAAACATTCCAAAGAGATGCTACTATTTGATAGATCTAATTCATCATATTCTGAATCAGATACAAACAATTTAAGCAAATCATCGGTAAGAGGGTTGTGTATGCTTAAAGAGGAAAGAATATTTTGTTTTAGATGTGTAGGCAAATTTGAAAAATATGGACATGAAATATAAGTTTTGATGTTTATGGCTATTGTATTTATGCAAATAGTAGCGAGTGATGGCAGATCAACATTGGAAGACGATAGTTCTGTAATTATAAGTCAGATGTAAAATCTTTATAAAATTGATAAAATCAGAAAATTAAAAACAAAGGTCATGAATGGTAGAGAAATCATTCTCTCACCATTCCAAACATTTTTCTTTGCTCTTCGCACTTCAATTTGCGATTTTAATTTACCACAGTCATTCATGTTAGTTTTGGAATACCACGCACCTCGCCAACTTTTGGGTGGTAACGGACCTGAGACACGCAGTCTCAGATCGTTTTCAATCCTCTCCCTTTGTTCATTTTCAACTTGATTTAAATAATCTCTCATTAAATACTTGTATGCTGGTGTCGTCAACGCCTCGGTTGATCTTTGGTTGTTTTTAGATCGAGATTCCTGACGCAGCTTATTAAGAAGCGTAGAAACCTGTGGTTTTGAAACATGCTGGTTGCTCGTCACAAAATGAACTCTCGAATTGTCGGTTGAAATTGTTTTAGAAAAAGATTTCAAGTATTTTCGTTTTTGTTTAGAATTTCTCATTGATGTAAAAATTTTAGAATCATGGCAATTCATTTAAATACAGAAAGCAGTCACTTCCCCAATATCGACAAATTCCCGGGTCGGATCCATCGGATTTAGGCCGGCATTTAGCTCGAGGTAGGACTATACATACCGCCCACTCAAAACCTTATTTGGGCTGCCCAAATTAGGGTGTCTATGATTATTGCGATAATTAAACAAAAAAAAAGCACATAGATTATGTGATTGGTAGATCTAGCTGTTTGTGAAAGTCAGATTTTATTAGAAGCGACTAGTATTTTTAGACTCCAAAAAAAAAAAAAAACTTTCAAGCTGTGTTGTTGGAACAATAAATCTGCCGTTCCACTTTCTTATTACATAAAATTATTGCCATAATATTTTTTTATAAAGCAAATTTTTTTTGCTATTATGTTTACATAATAAGATAAAAGTTTAATTTTATATATATATTTTTTTAAATTAAGTAGTTATTCTAGTACTTTATTAAGATTCTTGAAATTACTTTTGCAATTACATAGAGACATCTAATAACTAAGTCTAGCATCATCTGACTATTCTAACAGTACTTAAGTGCAACTTGTTGTATTACTTTAAACAGAAGTAGGTTGCTTGTTTAATTATTTAAAATTTATAATAAAAAGATTTTTTTATAACAAGTTTCAACATTGGAAGTTTTTTTTTCTTTAAGCAGTCACATTAATGTTTGATTAAGATTTTTAAAATTACTTTTGCAATTACATAGATGTACTTAACAACTAAGTCTAGTATTATTTAGTTATCTTAATGATATTTAAATGCAATCTGTTGCATTACTCTAAGCAGAAATAAGTTGCTTGTTTAATTATTTAAAGTTCATAATAAAAAGGTTTTCTCTCTTTCATAACAAGTTTCACATTGTCTTCTTAATTTCATCTTTAATTTAATTTATTTTATTTTATTTTTTTCTTTTATTACTTGCTGATTAATTTTTTTTTCTTTGCTTATATTCTTTTTTTTTTTTTATTTTAATATTATTTTTATTTCTTTTTCTTATTTATTAATTTTTTTATATTGTATTTTTTAGACTTGCTTATAAAAAGTGTTTCAGATTGTTTTTGTTACTATGTTTGTAAACTATTATCTTATATTGTTTTTAAAAATTAGATTATTAATTAGCATTTTTTTTATTTCTATTTCTTTTAATTTTTTTGTCTTTTTGAAAAGTATTGTATATAATATATAAGATTAAACTTTGATTTTTTTTTCTTTTAATTTGTTCTATACTGTTGTAATAAATATTTTTTGAATTTTTTTCTAAATATTTGTTTGTTTCTTGTATAATGTTAAATATGTTTATATTTTTTAAACTTTGTTTTAACAAACTTTGGTATTCTGCAATTGTATATATATTTGATTTATTTCTATTAAGTTTTTCTAAAGTCAAAAGTTTGTCTAATATATATTTTATAAAAGCATTTTTTTGTACTACTTTTTCTTATTATGCAATGCACTTTATTAGTTGATTTTAGTCTTTTTAAAGTATGTTCAATTATAAATTATTACTTTTATTACTAGTTTTAAATTTTTAATTGCTTTTATTTTTCTTTATTTTGTTTCTAAATTAGTATTTGTTACTAGTTTATATAAAAGTTTTGCTAATATGTCTATTTGTTTATTTTCTTACTCTAGACAGTATTTTATTTTTTTGCAATTGACTTCTTCTATATATATTATCTTATTACTTAATTTTTTTTTTTTTACAAAGTTATTAGTTTTATTATTTAATTTGTTTTTGCTATATTTTTTTATTTTAAACTATTTTATCTGTATGTCTTTTGTTTTAATTAGTTTGATTATCTTTACTATCTATAAAGTTTTTTTAAAAAAAAATCTGTTTCTATTTATGCACTCTAAACTATTATTAATATTTCTAATTGCAGTATTACTATCTGTAAATATTTTTAGTTTTTTCTTTTTAGTATTGTCAAAACTGCTATTCAAATTGTTATTAACTTAATTATAATTAATGTTGTTTATTTTTTTAGTTCTAATACTACTTCTTCTTTTGACAAATCTTGTATTTTATTTGTCTGTACTTATCTTATATTTATGTTTTTATTTGTTATTTCTTCTTTATTTTATTTTTTTTTTGAAATATTCCTGTTGTCATTACAACTAGATGTGCAAATAGTGCTCTTTTATTAAAATATTATGAATGACTTAGTTATTTTTTAGATATTTACATATTAGTTTAAAAAATTTAAATCTAGTACTAAAGGAGTTGTTTTTTAGAATTCATATTTTCTTTGAAATGTAATTTCTAATAAGAAAGTTTAGAGAATTATAAGATGTATCTGAGTTTCCCTATTTTACAGAGGTATAATGACATTATATTTTATAAATTGCATTAATATATAACCAGATCAAAGCTGCTAGAGCCTAAGAATAAGTATTGTTAAAGGCTTGAAAAATATCTTTGAGTGTGAATAGTATAGGTATTTTCTCATTAATATTAAAAAAACTGTATGCTTTCTTTCAGATAATTATACTACAATAGTATTCTAAAGTAAAATGTTTTATAGTTTATATTTCGTCTGAGCACCAAGTACAGCTTCCTGTTTCTAATGATTCAATATGTCTTAATCGATAACCAAGTGGGAATGCTCTGTAGAAAAAACATCAAAAAATATCTTTTTTTTTGTTACAGACAGATTTTAAAGAGAGCCAAATAGGCTAAAAGATCTGTGAAGGTGTTTGTGATATAGTAAATAGGAGAGAAGATTCTTTTAAAAGTTTTAAAATTTTTTTAACTAAGAGTTCATCTTCTTTAATTTTTCCAATTCTAATTTCATTACTATTTTAAGACCAGTTAGAAGTATGTGAGATCTTGTCTTTAATTTTTGCTCAGGCCTTTAAATAGAGTTTCTATTCTGTAGATCAGACTTTTGTACTTGTATTGTCAGAATTTAGAGCTTGAATAGAAGAAAGATTTTTTTATCTTTGAGTATTGACTATATCTTATTCCTTTCATATATTGCCTACATGGCATTAGATATAAAAAGTCATATCCAAACTGTTATTAAGCAAGCATCTAACATGTCTTTAATAACTGGGGCTTGAAGACCTGCTAACTCTATTAATTGCTGAAAGATTGAATATCTGGGCAGCATCTGTGATATATTCTTGATTTAAAGAGTTATAGTTCTATTAATTTCTGCCATCTGCTTTCTGTTTAGAGGTAGTAAATATGCTAAATACCAGACTTTAGATAAGATAAGTAATTTTGTAATTAAATTTTTCTCTTTAAAGGAAAGGTTTCTGTTTAGAAGCTTGTTTAGAGATTTTTTTAGCTTGTTAATAGTAGTAGGCCAGATATCTTTCTCCAATTGTCTATTAGTAAGAGTGTTATAGCCAAAAATGGTAACATTTTCTTGTTCTTCTAATTTAGTAAATTGGTTTTTGTTAATAAGTTCTATTTGTCAAGCTATAGTTGTAAGAGAAGCTAATTTGGTTTTAGTTCTGTTAATTTTTGTATTTTAAGCTGTCTCATATAGGCTTAGTGCTGCTATAGTTTTGTTCCAGTCTATAGGAGACCCAATTCCTATTGTTAAATCATCTGCATAAGCAGAAGTTCTAAAAAACTGATTTTCTAATTTTATATCTTGTAATTATCTTTTTAGGTTTCTTATAAGAGGCTTAAAAGCTAGTATGTAAAGAAGTAGTAAAAGAGGATCTTCTTGTCTAATATCTCTTTCTACTCTAAGTGGTCTGGAGATAGCCCTAGCATCTATAATATGGGTCTCTTGATTAAAAAAAAGATTATGTATTAGGCTTATGAATTTGTGATCAAAGTTCATATTCTTCAAAGTTAGTTTTAAAAAATTATGATTGATATGATCAAATGCTTTTTGTTGATCAATAAAAAGTAGCCAAGAGCTGCATCTGTAATAGATTTGTTTTTGATAAATCTATGTTGTTGGTAAGATACTATTTTCTCACATATGAGGTTGAGACAATTGGCCAAGATTTTTATAAAAATTTTAGCATTATTGTTAACTAGTGATATTAGTCTCCAGTTGTTTATATTTTCAAGATTTTCTGCTTTTTTAGGTATTAGTAAAATTAAACTTTTATACCAAAAAGTTGGCATGACTCCTGAGCTAAGAGCATGATTAAAGACACCATAAAGAACTAATGTTATTGCTTTTTTTTTTTTTTTTAATATTAACAGTGAGGTCATGCCTTTAACTTTATTAAAATTCAATTGAAGTTTTTACAAAAAAAAGCTTGCTTTTAAATTACATATAAAG